AGAGAGAGAGAGAGAGAGAGAGAGAGAGAGAGAGAGAGAGAGAGAGAAGAAAAACTATAGGTATGCCCCAGCTGTTACAGGTGCTCCTTGATCCATCCTGGGCTTCCATGCCATCGTAAGTGAAAAGATCTTACACTGGGAAGGCATTGCATTAGTAAGCACATCAAGGACACATCCTCAGATAGCAGCGTGGTAAGCTGCAGAGTGTCAGCTATTCCCTTCCTGACTATCCACCACTGCCCAGTGTCCCAAGAGAGGACCATAATGTCTATTACTGGATGAGGTGGTGGGATTGGGAGAGTAGCAGCCCATTCAAGGTCCTAGGTTCAGTTTCTACTTGAATGTCTCTTGTTTTTCACATCATAATGAAGTCAAAAAAATTACAAATGCCGTCATCAGAAGTTGGGGGGGGGGCAGAGTCTCTAATATCCCTAACTATGCATCTCAGAAAAATGAAAAAATAGACACACAAAGATCTCTGCACTGTTATTCATAATAGTGTTATGTTTGAGAGCTAAAAACCAGAAGCAATGGCCCAGTGGTGGCGGTGCACGCCTTTAATCCCGGCACTCAGGAGGCAGAGGCAGGTGGATCTCTGAGTCCGAGACCATCCTGGTCTACACAGTGAGTTTCAGGACAGCCAGGGCTACACAGAGAAACCCTGTATCAAAACAAAACGAAACAGAAACAATGCAAGTGTCCTTTGGTGGGTTAATGTTTCAACTCACTGTGGTACATTGATGCTGTAGAATGTGGTTTGGCAATAAGAGGCGTTTGGTGAGTAAAGAAGTCTCATCGCCAAAGTCACCTTCCCCAAATGACAAAGTCACAGAGCTGAAGACAGGCAGTTCCAGGGTAGAGCTAGTGAAGGGCAGTTAAGCCGTAAGGGGCATCTCCACAGTGATGGGCGACAAGTGTCTCAGTGGCAGTGGCTACATGAATCTAATGTGTGATTCGTGACGTACAACTGTCCACACACCTGTTCCCATGGCAACGCCCCATTGCAGTGTGGTACAATCATGAAGCAAGCCATAACCACTGGGACAACTGTCTATGTGAACCCTTCTGCATTATCTTCATGCCTGCTGTGTCTCCAGTTATGTCCAAATAAACTGTTTTTTAAAAATGTGGAGGTTAGAGGGAGATGTGAAAATTCTTCAGGGAGTATGCAGGGATTACAATTAATGGGGAAAAGACTGAGGAGAACTGAGGAAGAGGCAGGCCAGGAGTTAAAGCATTTCAGTCAAAGATTCCCCGGCTCTAACCAGATGCTCTCCGTGTGTTAGCACCTCATGAGGTGATATGATTTTAATATAAAAAGATTAGACAATATGTTCTTTAATCGATAAGTATATAGCCACATTAATATTAAGCACACATCGTATGTGCACAGAAAAAAAAAAAAGGAAAGACAGAGCATAAACCGTTCCATGTGAGTGGCTAGATTACTACAGGGACTGCCGCTTGTTCTGGACACAGTGCTGGGCACTCAGTACTCACAAGCTGATCCTCGTGAGTACCCTCAGATGGGCGTTATTCTCTCCATCTTGGAAATGAGGAAGCTATGGATCCAAATGTTAAAAGAAGCCTGCCTGTGAGCTCATGGTTCTCAAATGGCGGAGCTGGGATTCAAACTCAGGCCTGCCTGAAAATGTGGTTCGTGTTTTCTACCATATGTTCTAGTATATGTGTGCGCATTCTGGTTTTTATAGGGAACACATAATATTTATGTGGTCTGAGAAAGAAGCAATAAATAGTTAGGGGACCCAAGGCCTAGTTATATGAGCATGTTCCCTGGCGATCGCTCTTGGATGGGCTAGCCTGAGCCTGGGGCATCTGTCACTCCGAGGGCAGCTGTTTGCTATGCTGGCCCTAAAGGTACAAGCTGACTTTTAAACATGGAGTCCTCTCTTTTGCAAACCAGCGGTAGCTGACTCCTACAGAATGCTTCGAGTGTGCAGGGCTTTGCCCAGATTCCTCATCAGTTCTCCTGGGAACTTGATGAATTATGAACCGTAGTCCATACTTTACAGGCCAGAAAACTGAGGTTCCGCTTAAACACACTAACCCAGTTCACAGCTCCAGAGGGTGGGGAGGGGCTGGCTTTGGACCCCTCCCTAGAAACAGAGTTGCTGGGCTTGGTGACGCCACCTCCCCCGGCTTCTCTGCCTCTTTCTTCCCGGTGTGCACATCCCCTCAGCTTATGGGTATCCCAGAAGGCCATTCAAGCACCAAGGTGGCTGCTGTGGTTTCAAAGGTGAAATGTTTATCAAGCTGGATGTCAGCCCTGTTCCACGGGCCAGAAAAGGAAATTGAGGCTCCCAAAATAGACCAGCGGAGCTGGCCTGGGGCTGTCTGGCCCCACATCCTGTGGACTGTCTCTGCTATTTTGTGTATTAGGAGCCTCCCTGGGTCCTTTCCAAGATCTGTCACCACCAGGGGAAGAGCCTGCCTCCTCAACTAGGCAGCTCACAGGATCATTTGATGAGACCCAGGGTGCTTGGGAGCCAACTACGGCCCATGCTGTACACACTGCACCAGGCCAGGGGCCCCTCCTGATACCAGCCCTCAATACTGGGCCAAAAAATGGGATTTGCTGTTGGTTTGAACCAAATTGCTGCAAGGGTCCCCCACCCTACCCCAATCAGGCTCCCCCCTTTGTAGGGCTCCCTTCCCAGAAGGACAGTAGAAGGACACACACTCTCAGGAACAGACCCTTGCTAATTACCTGAGGCCGACAGTGACCCTCAGACATCAGAGCAGCTCTAGGGACCAGACCAGAAGCCTAAACAGTGAGGCAGGCCAGCTCCATCCCTGCCTCTTCAGGGCCCCCTAGGATTCCAACAGGTTCTTAATGGACTGAGCATAGTTGTCCTTCCTGACTGACAGGGAAGCCAGCCACAGGGCAGAGCAGGCAGTCAGGGAGACAGTGGAGAAAACAGGTGTTGGGAATGACTGGGGGGACAAGAGCAAAGGAAGAGAAACAGGGCAGAAGCAGAAGGCAAAAGAGACAGGAAG